AGACGACGCCAAGAGCTTCTTTCGCTACTCTGCGCCAGTGGTGACGACGCCGCCCGCGACGCCGCACGCAACCCCCGCTGGGACATCCGCCTCCTTTCTTTCGTCGCTCGCCACGAGCGTCGTTGCGGGCCTTGGCGCAGTCTTCCTCGTTCTCTAGAGTAGCAAACTAGCATTTCGTAATCGATTTTTCTTTCACCTATGCAGCACGCGAATGCCATCCCTCCGTACCCGCGAGATTGGATAAATGGATGAATGCTGGCGCTCGGAAGGCGCCGCTGTGGCTGCCCTGAAGTACCGGTATGAAGGAACTCTTGACGTCGCTTTACTGTATTTCGACTCGACTCCTCTTTTGCGATATGGGGATTATTTCCCGAGGCTATCAATGCAAGTACATGGGGAGACTATTAGGGTTCGTGTTGGGAGGCTGTCGCTGCCTAAAAGAGACTGGTGGATAGGCTACACGAGCGTCAAGTAACGTAGAGGGTGGCAGCTCGACGGGCAAATCGCAAATGGGTTTGGCAGTTTGGTCTTCGGTCTTGGCGGCTGCACGTTGCTATAATGAAGAGCTAACTGGTTGCGCCGCCATCGTGGGTGATATGGCGGCTCAGCAAAGCGGTTCAAGATGACACCCTTGGTTGGCCCCTTAGCTTCACGCGTTGCACGAGAAGCGATTCCTCGTATGAATGCTTCGCCGTCGACTGCAGCTTTTGGATCTTGGCTTGGGTTGAGGTCCGCCGTGTACCTCGCCTGCGAGCTCTCCGACTGTAGAGCATCGACTTTGCATGGCTAGAATATGCAAGTTTCATCGCGTTGCTTAGTGTGGTTGAACAGGTTCGGTGCAGGGTGACCTGGTAGGAACTTTGAATTGTTAACCGGTATTTGTGACGACGACGCTTGCGGTAGTCTTTAATGTGGCTTCGCACCTGAGTCATTTGGGTCACCTAGTTCTTCGTCATGAATCGAGTTGACCTCCGTCGATGAGGGTGCTGCTACGGGTTGGTCATGCTTCGCGAGTCTTGCCGTCCTCGGTCGTCTAGCTTCCTCTGCGCTTGCCGCTCCGGGAAGAGCTCCGCCTCGTATACCGTTCGTGGCCTCACCTGCTTCCCATGAGGCCTCATGGTACTAGAAGGAGTCCTTGCCATGATGGTCGTTCCCACGCTTCCGCCGTCCAGATACATAATGTATTCAACGCTCGCTGACAAGCTCTATTAGGTGCGGCTGTGAGGGGGGCGATAAGCCCTGATACGTGCGTCACACCTTTTGCATATCAAATCCAATATAATGTCCATCACGTGAAAGCACTTAACAGGGACTTCAAAAATCGCACTTGACGAGACATGCTCCGTGGGATGTGAAAGGGCCGTTTCCAAGCAGTGGAAGAGGTTTTCCGCACAAGGACGAGCGATCTAGAAGACCAGTTACAAGTTCGAACAAAAGCCAAGACCCAGGCGCAGAGCGAACGAGCTTAAGCCATTTCCAAATTGGTAGTGTCCGTCAAATAACTAACCCGCCTCGCCCACCACCGGCATGGCGGACACCAACACGGTTGTTGCCCCCAAGTAGTTCGGTCTTGATTGAGGAATGCGGCTTTGCGATTCGGTGAAATGCCCTGGTAGCTGAGACCAATGAAACGTACCAGTAGTTTCATTGGACAACAAGTCTAGAAGGATACTAGTAGTCGATAATTTAGCCAGAATGCACGAATTGATCCCCTGGGATGCTATTAAGATTATAAATTCGCTCCAGGCGACGTTTGCGCAAGGCAGCGGCTTCTGCAAACCCGAGCATAAATGTAACCCATGTAGTCGCTTCTTCCAGGACGACAGTGTCAGGTCGTCCTGCGTCCCTTGAACGAAGCGCTAGGCTGACATCCTAGCGCTGCCGTTGTTCCGACACGGCAGATACAGATTGCGTAGTGACATATTTGTACACAGTAGAAGTTTATGTCCATTTAAACCAAAAATTCGGGAAATCGGTTCGGGTAAAAGTTTAGACCCTCGACGGTATCGTCTCGGCAGAGCTTGCCGCGCTGCTCGGCAACCTAACATAGCACGTCGGACACCTTGCACTGCAAACCTCTCGACGCACCTTGAGGTACTCGTGGGCAAGCGACAAGGAAATCTGCATCTCCGCGGCCACGTCGTTGGACGTGATGCAGCTGTCTTTGGCAGTCCGCGCCAAGTGCTCGAGGCGCACGGCCACCTGCTCTTCATTGTGCGAGTCTACACCAATCCAACCGCGTCCCAAGGCGTCGGTCAAAGAAGATGAAATACCGGATTGGAGAACGATGAGGCCGCCATCAAACTTGCGCACGTGCAAGCCCAAGTGCAACGGCTTCTGCAGCATTGCAGCATGATATAGATCGTCGGGCGATATGAGCTCTGTGCCCCGGGCGCGGTTGAAGAGGCAGTAGATATCCGAGAGCGTGAGGATGCCACCGTGGCGCGCCATAGGCTCCTTGAGGAACTCGGCGAGCTGGCGCGCCAGCTGCTGGTGGTACGCATCGCCCGCGTTCTCGCGCGTCACCGGGCTCGCAATGCCCATGTTGAGCAGGAGCGCTTGCATCTGCGTCGTCTCGTCGGTCGTCGTCTCGGCAGCCG